AGGCGGGAAGGGCGGGATGGGCCAGGGTGGTTGTGGCACGTGGCTGCGCGGCGCCCTCGCCGCCATCATGCTGCGCAAGCTGACCCTGGAGCAGATCAACGACTGGTTCACCATCGGCAAGGCCGTGCCCGCCGCCGAGTTCCTGGGTGTCCAGGAGGGCGCCCCGCGGAACCCTCCCGCCCCCGCTCCTGCTGCGCCGGAGCCCTTAGGGGCTGCGGAGTGAGTGCAGCTTGTTGTTTGTTTCAGGGCTTTTCTCTTTTTTTAAAAAAATTGCTTTCCTACGTATCCTTTTTATCTCAATCGTCACTGCAAATTTTATGTGCCCAAAGTGACTTCTGCAGAGTGCTTTGATGCTGCTGTGTAATTGTAGCAAGTCCTCTTAGGGAGCAAAACTCTCGGTCTAGGCTCAAGTGTGCAGCTAGGAGCTCGTGCCTAGTGGTGTTATGACAAATAAAATGCTCGTGAGTAAAACAACTGTTCTCCCGGAGATAGTGCTCTTACAAAGTGTGTTTTATGTAGTTAATTATTGAATCAATGGGCAGCAGCTCTGGTTCAAGCTGATTATTTTTTTTTTCTTACAATTCCTTAAGAGTTTCATCGGCTCTTGCCTGTTGTTAGTGGTTGGTTTCTGAAGTGACTCCAAAAACTGTATTACAGTAGAGTAGTTATTTCACCAGTCTGTGCTTCATAGCCAATTTGTGGCTCAGTGCTGCTACAGTAGGTAAATCTTCAACCTGCAGTTTGTAAGCACACATATTTAGTAATTGGTTGATGCCTACTGCAGAAATCTGTTGATGACTTTAATGTGGCAGTTTACCATATCTTCATAAAATAATGCTATGTAGACAATGCCTTGTAGCTGTAAAAAACATTACCCGTTTTCTCTTTCTTCCTCTAATGTTGTGTTCTAACCCACAGTTTTCCAGCGGCTAAGAGAGGCGATATCATGTATGGTAGGCATTTATAACCTGCCTCAAGTGTCAGGTTGGCAGTGTTAGGAGAGAAATCCAATACTGCATACTCTGAACATTCTAGAAATGCTTCTTAGATTCTTGTGAATATTTAAAAACATTCACTTCCGAGCTACAGCAGGATCTGTGCTATTGAATCTTGTAGGTTTTCTGAAAGTCAGAAAACCTCAGCTGCCAATGTCCTTCCTGCTTAGAAAGAGCTGATTCATTAAAGCACCCACTGAACGCTTCTGTTTAAAAGATGTTTACATGGAGGCCACTTAGATTGTCCCAGGAACTTGCTTCAAAAAAGCTTTATGTGAATCCTGAGGAGCAGTGTTGTGATTCTCGTTCCTATCTCTTTAAAGGAGGTTCCCTGTGAATATAGATCACTTGAACACTCTTATATGCTTTTTTGTTTTTTTCAGAATGTAGTAATCTGTGGTGATGTTCTAGGACTCAACAAGGAGGGTGACTGCGCTAATAGTCTGTGTTGACTTGCTGAAATGCTCAAAGGGAGCAAGCTTGGTGTCTGATAATCTGGTAGAATAATGGTTACACCAAGCAGTTGCTTTGGGGAAAATGGCTAAAACTAGTTTGTCAGTGAAACCTGTAATGTATGTGTGAATTCTCAGAGAAGAATTTGGACAGAAGTTGCCTGACCTTGGTTATGTGTTTAAACATGGATGCCTTTAAGCATGGATGGTGTCTCTTTGTGCTGCCACCAAATGAAGAGGGTAGGATTTTGTTTCCCAGTTCTGGGAGCTTGCGTGCAATGTGGATACCTGTTGCAAAACTTGAAAGCTTTTTGAAGAGGCTTTCGTTCAGAAGGAATAGCCTATATTTTATTTGCTGACTTTTCAAAACACACATTAAAAAAGAGAAAGCAAAACTTGTTTTTTGTTTTGTTGAAGCTGGTTGTAGCATAGTACTCTATTAATCTTTATTCTCCAAAATTCTGAGTCATTTCTTGAGAATATCAAAACCAAGGTTATTTAAAACTTGCCAAAAGCTGAGACTCTTTAACTGGATCAAAAAGCCTCACCTTTCTCTTAAAGAAACAGAATGCATTCACTTCAGCCTGTAGTGATGCCTCTTTTTCCAATGGTTTTAAGTTTATCTTTGCAAATTAACCACTCCTAATATAGCAGCTTTAGTATTAGAGCCTGTTAGGGAATGGGAAGAATTTTCAGAAAAATCTCAGTTTGGAATTTTGATCCTTAAGTAGGTTGTTGATTAACTTAATGAGAAGAAACTCAGGCCCTTAAATTCTTCTTTGTTACAAAGCTATTGCATTTTAAATTAAAACCTTTTAAAGGCTTAAAAGATAAGGAAGATATAGACAATGTGGCAGAGACAGTGCTCTCTCTGATTTCCAGCTTTCACTAGGTTGGCCCTCCCTTTTTTTTTCCTTTGACTAAAAGCAAACACCTGTGTTAGCACCTGTGCACGTGGGAGGCCTTGTTGTCCTTTGAAATTATGGCCCTCACCCTTTTGTGCCTGAAATGGCTTTTGTGAACTGGTTCCTAAATCAACTGAAAAAAAAACCCATCTGGGTGAACATAAGGAACTCAGTGGTTAGAGATGGCATTGTGTGAATCACCTGGATTAAAGTAACAGTAAACAGTTCTTTGAAGTGACTTCTTGGCATGTGAATCGCCTGGATTAAAGTAAAAGGCACTTAAACAGTTCTTTGAAGTGACTTCTTGGGGAATAATCTTCAGCAGAGGATACTGGCCTGCAGTGACAATGCTCTTCTCTGATGCATGTGAAATATACAGTGTAAGTGTAACTTGCAGGAAAATAGCTGGTCTTAGGCATTTGCCCAGTCTTTTGATATATATTTTTTTCCCCCCTGTAAATAATCCAGTTTGGACTTTCTCCCCATGCTCCCATGTGAACGCTAGAACTGGATAAAGTGGTTTATTACCTGTTTCATCAGTGAAAGGTGTTTAAAAGTAAGTAAGCCTTCTCAAGGTTTTCCTTAGTGTCAAGTGTAGAATTAACATTCAGTTGCTTATCAGTGATGATATCTAGATCTTTGGCAATTTTTAATTTGCCCTTATTTTAGCACATAATCTGAGCTCTTTAGATGTAGTTGTTTATGCTTGTTCCTTGTCTCTGAAGATTTCTGTTGCTTATATTAAAATGAAACTTATGAAAAATGAGTAAGGACCTGAGTACCTGTTGAGATTTTTCTGTTCAGAGAGGTAAATCTGCTTGCTTATCTGTTTGCAGACTTGCCCCAAACTTCTTATGATACAACTTAGAAGCTCTATGTTTTGGAGCAGGGATGTGTTTTTATTTAATGGAAAAGTGTGGAGGCAGCTCTGTTTTAAAAATTCATTTAAGTGAATTCCCATTGCAGAGACATTGCTCAGTTGACCAAATCAGAAGTATTTTGAGAAAGCAACCTTGTGGGTGTTAATTCTCAGTGAAATACTAATTCTGCTAATGACACTGATACACTTGCCTCTGTTGCCCATGTCTATGGGAAAGTAGTTGAAGCGCAGCTGCAAGTTGGGAGAGCTTGGTCAGGGAGAGAAATGCTTCCTGCAGACAGCCCTGCCATGGTGCTGGGATCTGTTCTGGGATCATTTTGGAATGATGAATGACAGCTGTGCCCCAGGAGGGCAGGGAGCTTTCTCACCTCTGAGGGCAGGTTTAAAGAGTTAAGAGGGTGGTTTCTGAAGCTTTGTGTATTAGGCTCTTTGGAAGAGGAGGCAGCTGTGAACTTTTGCTTTTTGGAACAATAGAAAGGCATTGCTTTTTTAACTGTTTTCTATTGTAAGCCTGCAGAGACTGATTTGCTCTGGCGCTGTTTTTAGCACTTTAGAATATTATTGCTGAGGTCTTTTTGCATATTGTCTGTTTCCCTGTTCTGCATGAAATGCTCTGTTGAACTATAAGCTTGCCAAATATGTGGGGTTTTCAATTAGTATTTTTTTTTAATGAGGATCCTGCAGTATTTGTTTTGCCCTACTCATTTTGCATTATAACTAAGTCTTTCTTGGGATGAGGGTTTAAAGTACAGAAAGTAAGGAAATTCCATTGGTTTTTCTTTGCCTGCTTGCATAACTTCCAATACACCAAAAAAAAATCTGAAGAAAACACCAGGAAGCTTCTTTGCCTTGTGTTTGCAAAACGGTGCGTTCTGCAATGTGGGAGATGAAACTCCTGTCCTTTTTTATAATATAGCGGACTAATTAATAAGGAAGATCTGAAGATGGGATATGCAAAAATTTGCTCCCTGTGGTGATAGGAGCCTACTTGGAAATTTTGTGAGGTGGCCTGTAGTACGTGGGTTAATATATATATATACACATATATATATATTTTTTTCTCTGATCTGCTGTGTCCGTAGGTGCTACCTATCCAGCCAGTCTTGTACAACCTGCTTAATTTTAAACTCTCAGTGATTGTAAATTGCAACTGAAAAACATAACATTTTGTTTATATCCCCGAATTTCAAATGATCAGGGCTTGGCTTCTCGAATGATCTTTTGATTCACTTGCTACTAGGGGTAGTGTCTGATTCGGTCAAAATGCTGAAGTTGAGTGTGGAGTCTGGGTTTCAGGGTAACTTCCCATAAATCAAATGAAGAAATACGACTGCTTGTATTTTGAAATATAAATATTTATGGAGTTTCTTCAAGGATAGAGAATTAGTTATTAAATGTAGTTAAAGCATGTAGAGAACAATTCTGAAAACTATAGGAATGGTACATGCAGTATGTTATAGCTTCTGACATAATTCTGATTTTAGAATTTATTCTTAGAGTTGAGAAACAACAGTTCAAAATATATTTATCAGCTTATTTGGTATCATTGATACTTTAAAGCATTTATCTTACACAGTATAAAGTTCCCTTAGAACCTAAAAAAAAAACCTGTTGACAAATACTAAGCAAAAGTTCTTATCTAACACTTTGCAAAAAGATCTTAATTTCAAGGTATAGACAGCAGTCTGCTTGTTTAAATACATGCTCTGTGTGTGTATATGTACACATATATGTATGCACACATACATACATGAGCATTTTTATTTTTTAGCCATATAGACAGACTTGTGGCTGAAAAATGATGCTCCAGTGTGTTTTTTGCTGTTGTTTTCCCCAGAAATGCCTACAGTACTTTGTTGTTGTTGTTAAAATATATGCTTAAACATAACATCTTTAAGGAGCAATAATGATAAGAAAAGGAGGAATATTCCTATTTAAATCTTGTGGAATGCATACCGGCTAATATCAAGGATGTTAATGTCCAAACTTGGAGTGAAGGCGGGAGCGTGTCACGGTTGTCGTGCTTATGGGCAGCGAGCACACCAAGGGAATGGAAATAGCTTTGTGGAAGGAACCCAAACCAACTTAGCTTGATGGGTAGTAATACGGCAGATTCCAGATCCTGTGGGAGAAGGTGGGAAACAGGCTCTGCGTGTTCTTGTCGACATAACTGGACACCGTGGGGATTTCGTCTTTGTCCGATTGGTGAGAAGCGTCTCCGCGTGGGCCGAAGTGCTCGGGGCAGTTTGTATTCCACGCGTCTGCCGCTTGCTCTTGGTGGTTCTCCCTCTCGATGGCAGTAAGAAAATCTTTTAAGACTTGCTTGAATATGTAGACTATTTCCCAAGGTAGAACGTTGTTTTCCGCCAGAACCTCACGAAATCTGGAAGCGAACAAAAATTGAAACCTAATTGTCGCTGCTGAAAGCTCTTCTACGTGTTATTCCTCACTCAGCTCACGGGGGAGGCAAGGGAGGAGGCAGTGACAGCACTTTGGTCTCACTGATGTCCTTGCTGCCACACTTCCCCCGTGTCCCCAGAAAAGAGTCCTGATGAGGCGCTGGACGTGCTCCAGCAATTGGGACGTGGGGAAGCTGTTGTTATTGGGTGCATTGCCTTGTGCTTTATTTTTTTTTATTTTATTCCTCCCTCTCCCCCTTCTTCCCTCCCCTCTCTCCTCTGCCATCTGGGTAACTTGATTTAAACTGACTTTGCCCTTAGGTACATTCTGGGCTTTAAAAGGCACATAGGCTTTTTCATTTTTTCTATGTGCCCCTAGAAAATGTATTTAAAATACAGGCACTGGAGAATTTTTCTTTGTAAGATGAATTTTTATTATTTATTTTGAAAATGACAACCTCTTCTTTTTAGTAGTTATTTTGCTTGTTTTATAAATTTTCAGGATTTGTTGTTAGTGAGACCATGTTTCCGCATAAAACAATGCGTTGTATTAATGCCTTAATTTGAGTTTTGGTTATTAAGTTAATTGTTCAATAAGTACTAGGGATAAATTGCAAAGGAAGAAAAGCGAAGTAGTAAGAGACAACATGTTTAAGCATGTGAGACTTGCTTTGCTTGAGATTGGACCAAGAAAACGCTTACAAAAACTTTCTTGGTGTATGACAAAATGCTTATAAAAACACATGCAAGTTGCTGGCCACACTTTGGAGGAAAGATCAGAGCCAAATACAAGTTTGAACTAAATATGAAAGAATATCTCTCTTATGATACAGTACTCAGCAACAGGAATACAAGATTATTACCTGCTGAGAACAGTCCCAGTCTGGCAGGGTTGGATTTGTGAGCAAAGGGCTTCGAGCTGCCGCTGCTCCGTGGCTGGAATTGTGGCTTGTGGATTTTGGTAGCTCTTGAGCCAGTTGTAATCCACACCAGCCTTGGGGACTTTCTGTTCGCTTTCGATCTCTTGCACTAATCTCTCACGCTCTTTCAGGTGCCACCTCAATTCCCTCAGCAGGGTTTTTGTAACCACTTCTGATCCTGGATATGGCGTGGATTTGTAGGAATCATTTTTTGGCCATTTCATCCAGCCGAAAAGTGGCATTTTTAAGCTTTGGAGAAAAACAGACAGTTTGTCACCAAGGCATCATTAAACCTGACAAGTCTTGGACTTGATAACGTGTGCAAACAGTCATAAAATACTTAACTTCTACAACTATCGACTTGGTTAAATAGACCAGAGTAGACAAATGTTTAAAAGTACATCCTCTCAAAAATATTTTGTAATCTTGATAAAATATACAGTGTTTAAAAATAAATGATTTGGAATAATTCTTTTATTTTAGCAATTACTAAATAAAGATAAGTAGTGGAGTTCCACGTTCAGTTCTTTAAAACTTTTGTATCATCTTATTTTAAGTAAAGAAAAATTTATTTATCCTTTGGAAACAAACAACAAAAGCTGGACTAGGCTTTTACATTGCCGTTAGCTACAAATCACGCAGATGCAGCATGCTAATTGGAATAAATAACATAAATTACCTTTGCAGGTGTGTGTGAACAGTGTTTCGAGTGCGTTTGCTTGAAGACCTCTTATTCTGGCATATCCTGTTTCCAGGTTGTTGCTACTGTTGAAAGAAAAAAGAAGTTTTCCCATTTATTCAAACGATTCTTGTGAAAAATGACTTTCTGTACTGAATATGACAGCTTACGTTTTTCTACTTTTAAAGTTCTTTTTCATTTTGTTTAGCAGAGAGAAGCAGCAATCCATTTAACCTAACATGGTCTCTCCAATACTTTCTACGAAGTCCATTAAGGTCTCCTACCTCTCAAATGAGCTTCGCCGCTGGCAGCAATTTGAAAAAAGATGGCAACAATTTCAGGGGCTTGTTGCTTAATCCATCCCAAGGTATTGTTGGTAGTGAAACGATAGTCTGAAGCAAGTAGGGATGTGCTGCTAGCTAAGGTTAAGGCTGTCGCATGATGTGATGCTTGGCTTGGCTGTGCATAGCTGTAGGTCACAGTTCAGAGCTGTATTTTTATGCCTGTAGAGTGCTAAAAATAACTACGTTGCTTTTATCTCACTAAACTTCCAGGCCATTCAGATGCTGGAAGACTTCTTCCATTAGAGGGGGGAATCAGGCCGTTCTACTGTTTTAAACAGCTAAGAATAGTCTTTCTCCAGTAAAAGATCACCTAAAGCCTGTGTTAATCAAGTCTTTATGGGAAAGAGCTATTTGACAATTGCTCAGGATTATTTTGCTACGTTGAATACTTTTTCCAGATGAATTTCATCAATCTCATGGTACTATGCTTTTCATTACAGAGCATAGCTGTTAGCATTTTTAATTAACATTTCAAATGTGTTTAAAGCAGCCCATCTGCAACACCTACAGGGTACCACAAAAGAGTCATTAATCTAATTAAAGCAACAGAATATTAGGAAACACAAATTCAGGTCAAAATGATATTTAAACAATAAAAAAACAAAAGACCCACACAATCTGAGAAAACAACAGAATTTTAAGTCTTACCAGGAGATTTTAAGTCAACTGCCTGCCAAAAAAAATTTCCTTGATGAATATTTTGAGCATATCCACCTCTAGGATCCGCTTTCCGGGGTGGCACCGTGCGTGCTAAAGGTCGCCCGAGCAGCCATTTTCCGTTCCAGTTATCTGGTCTCTTCTTATTAATCTAAGCAGTGGGCATGGTGTGTAATGTGCCTCCTATCCCGGGCTTCTTGCTGCTAATCACTCGCTGTGCTCCCGTAAGTTTCTCTTTCCTACTCTTTTGCCTCCACAGCTCTTCTGAGCTGTTGGGAGAAGAAGGGTTCTGTAAATCGGTTCTAGGTGTCATCCAACATAAAAGATGACGTGTAAGGCTGCTACTAAAGCCAATATTACTTATACATTGGAAAAATTCAAGTGTCAGTATTAATCCTCTTCAGCTGGAAGGTTTTCACATTGCATTGTATATGGTACTATGAAAAAGGAAGGGAACTGGGTTTATGATGACAAAACTGTCTTGACAGATTTTCAGATGAAATTAAAATGTTCCTTGCCACCTCCTTTACAGCACAGTTAGCATGTCATCACTTCTTTCTTTTTGGCATATCAGATTAGATGGCATCAGAAAGTGCTGTACAGTATAAACCCCTTGTAATGTCTTTGCAAATCAAGGAGATGCATACTGAAAGGTGTGCAAATTAGGGTGAAATGAAAAAAAAAATGTATCTGTGTTTTGCTGGACCTATTTTTGCTTACATTGTCATATTTTCTGAGGCTGGACATTAAGAATGATGTTGAACTTTCCACTGTAGGAAAAGAGTATAGCCTCAAATTTGAAGCTTATACAAAAAGGCAACACAAATTGGTGTTTTGGAAGGGATGGCTGCTTATGTTGTGTTAATGTGGAAACTGGAATTCCGAAGTAAAGCAGTGTTTTATGTAGTCAATGTCCACTGGTTAATACCGAATGATCTGTGGGAGTTAAAAATCCTTTCTAAAAGGTGTTCATGGTTTTGCAGTGCTATTTGGAACAGAAATTTCAGTTTGACTTCAGCTCACACTAGGACCCTTCCTTGAAAGTAATATCCCCCAAGCCACAGCTGACTCTGCCCTGTGCCGGTGTTTGAAAATTGGTAGGTTTTTCCCCAAGGTGTAGTGCTCCGCGTTTATATTTTAAAGACTTTTCAACTGACACTTTAATTTTCTGTTTGCTTGTTCATTATACTTTATTTCCAAATAATTCCTAAAGCATGCTACTTGTGTTTTCTCTAGCTAAATAATTGTCATACAATTGCAGAGAACAGCATCACGTTGTATATAGATGAGTAGGAAAGGGTATGTTATTATATATGCATTTCTTAGACTTATTTGGTAACTTGGTGAAGATAACCCATAGGTGAGAGCCATCTTCTAAAAGCATTGAATGCCAGCTGCCAGTTGAAGACATTTTTAGTACGTCCTTCAGTGGAAGGTTATTTACTGTTATGGCAAATGTTCAGTTATGTAAAGTGTCACATTCCTTTAGTTTCAGAAAGAGGCTATGAAAGATTCAGCTGTATATATTGTACTAAAATTGTACAACAAAATATTGTTCTGCATGCTATAAAGCTAAGTGTTTTTTTTTTTCTGGTGATTTTTCTCTTTCTGCTCCGCAAAGGTCCCGAAGCCGGTGGGCAGTCTGTGTGCGGCAGGAGCTCTGCCTTAGCGCGGAGCTTCGTCCCTGCAGTCTGCAGAGTGAGAGATGCAGTTTGGGTTTGACTCTCCCTTCCATGTGCATGGAGAGTTTATGGCAAAGGAGGAAAAAACCTATACGTGTCTGGGTGGGGAGTGACTTTTTTAATTACTGTTCTAAAACTCTTGGGTTTTTCCTTTTTCTTGTCTTTAAGAGGAGATGTACTTGAAGTTATATAGCCTTAATATAAGTCTCTATCTGAAAATCAATATGAAAGAACCCCCTGTAAACTCTCTGGTTTAATAACCATCTTGATATCTGTGGAATGACTCTCTGCAGCCAGGTTTGCGAGTAAGCAATGTTCTCTTTCAGGGAGTCATATTGCAGTGCATCTTTTCAAAAGATGTGTTGTTCTGTTTTTTAACATCTCTTCCAGAGCTGTGCATTGCATTCAGGGTGTGCCCTGAAGTTGTGGTGCATCTCACTGAGAAGACCCAAATAATTTATCCACCACAGTTATGGTAGAGATTTGGCACTTGTTCCTGTATTTGAGAACTGAGCATTTATAAAACCTTTATTAATAGTAGATTTACTGAGTATATTCTTTTTTATTTTTATTTTTTGTGATGGCAGTGCTTACTTATTTGAGGTCATTCCATAGCTTCAAGACAAGGAAGACCTTTCTCTAACGGAGTTTCTCTCCAGAAAAGCTCCCTCAGAACAGTTACCATCCCATGTGTCAGCAGTTTCTGGTGTTAAACTCTCTTCCCTTCTAGCAATTCCTCTGAAGTGACAGTTGTATTTAATTTGGGTAATGACACTGTTTTTTTTTTTTTCCTCTTATTAAACTCAAATAAGTAAATACTAAAAACCACAGTCAAATGGTTAAGATCATTTTTAACTCATCTAATCATGTTAGCAGTGTTACTGCTGTCCGAGAGAAGCATGCTGTGGACACGTGATCCTGCGGCCTTTTTGGCCCTATGCAATACTGAGCAAAAGGTGCTGTGTCTGCTACTTGCTACAAGTATTTTTCAAAATAGACGAGTTTTAAGTTGTGTAAACTCCTATAGGTAGCTCCTGAGTTGTGCTCTGCAGACGTCAAGGCCATCAGGAGTTACCTGTTCAGCCGGATGTTACTGGTTGCTCTCTAATTTCCTTTACCAGGTTGCATTCCTGGGGGCTTATGGTCCTGTCAGTTTTTCAGCTTTTAGGGTGACAATACCACGGTTCTGACTTCAGCCACCCGGGTCTGGCTAAAATGAGGGTAAAATCATTGGTCAGAGACTCTCAGATTAAAGTCTGACCATATTTTTCATAATGAAGGTGAAAGACAAAACAAATCTCACATCTTCCATAATTTTTCAAATTGAAACGACTTGAAATTTTCAGTAATTCATTTTGAGTCAAGAGAATACCTTTTCCTGACTCCTAATTTGGTGAAATTTGCAGATTATGTTTGTGGATGCCACTGAAAAGTTGTAGCTTTTCCCATATTATAATTTATTATAATGAATTACTGTTATTTATTATAATATGGCCTCAAAAGACTGAGTAAAATAGAAAATTAGAGAACAGACCTGGAATTAGAGGGGGGCACATCCAGGGAAATTAAAAATAACTGAGTAAAAAGACTGAGATGTGGAGAGCCTAAGAAATATATATTGTGATAAGGCAGGTATTTTACTGTAATAAAGGGGAATGATAGTGGGGAAGAGATAATGGGGGTCTATGGGAATGACATGTGCTCAATAAGGGGAATACAAAATAGTCCCTTCATTAGCACTGTCCTTTCCTAGACTGCAGTGGGTTCGAACGTCTTGTCATTCCTTTGCTGTCAAAAATTGAAGACTCATTAGAAAAATGTTTGTGTATAGGATGATACCTTGTACTGCTGGCTTGTTAGGGATTACTTGAAAGGATTGTATTGTATTAATGACTTATAACCAAGCCCTCTGGTGCTCATACTTCTTCCTTCTCCTTTTGCCTAACTGTATATATAGATAAAGCTTATAGAATAATTTACAATAAAGGTACAAAGTTTAACATGAACAAATTTAGAAATGATGTGATGAAAGTTTGTTGTTCATTTCCTGATTTCATATGGTTTTCCTTTGGACTGTAGCCTGAAAATATTAGTCACTGATTAAGAATAAATACTGCTTATTAAATGTTTTCTTTATTCATCGTGCAGCCCCAGGTTTATGTACTGCATTCTTCTTTATGGAAACAAACCCCCCTGATTTGGGAAGAAAATAACAAAAAATATCAAAATCTTCTCGCCCATCACTGATGGGGTCATGCTGTCCTTGTTTTAGTGGTAAAATATATTGGTAGAGAGCTGGTATGTGTTTTCTGTGAGGCCACTATAAAATGCTTAATACCTGACCCTGAAGAGCATTAAGTTGAGTATATTTCTATCCTATAAAGCTGATTTTTTACTGGCTCCAGCTTAAACACTGCTGCTGATATTAAATACTGAAATGGGGTGCACAGTCCTCCCTTTCTCACCCTTACCCCTGCCCTGCAGTGATGATTTTTATTGGAGTGACTTGCTTGCTGTTGCTCAGGGCTCTGACAGATGAGTAATGCTCATTTTTCTATGACAGCATTTATTGGCTTAATCAGATGGTTATTTTTGTTCTTAAAAGGAACTGAAGGACAAGCTGAATTTACTGCATAATCGGGTCTCATTATCAAAAGATGTGTATTCTCTGTACTTAGTGAGGCTACAGTCTTATGGAAATGAAAAATAATTGGTTACATCGCTAAAATCTAGATAACGTGTGTATGAGTTTAATTTTGCGGTTTTCAGCTACTGAATACTTGGGTTTAATACCTTTGTATTTTTAAGTTTTTCTTACATTTAATTCTGCTGAATACACTTTTGAGAACAGTTAGAGGGATAACTGGCTTCGATCTGCTTGCTGAAAGTAGGCAGCTGACAATCACTTGGTGGATATGCAGCTGTATAGAATCACATTGAGCTCTGCATTAGGAAATATTCAGGATACAGGGAAAAAATGTCCCAGCACTACACCTATATTGTTAAATACTGTTAAAATAGAAGCCATTGTGAATTTGTCTGTATTGTGTCTCTCACTCTGAAGAAATACTACATCCATTCAGGATGGTAGTAAATACTTAATATTTCCTGTAGGAGGAAATAATGATGCATCTGAATGAATAGTTTGCAGCAGAGCTGTGCTGCTCCAGGTTTGTCTTGTTGGGGAAAATGGCCATGCTCTGTGGCATCGTGATACTGTGAAGTAGCCTAGGACATGGTGCCATGTTATAAACCAGTGTGCTATTGCTTGTCCCCATGAGCAATTAAGCTGAAATTTTGCTTATTATTTGTGTTAGACACTTCTGCAGCAGTGTCCTTTGATGTCTCAAAGACTGAGCTGGTGAGAAAGAGGTTTGCTCTGTACTACATAGCTCTGGTCCTTATGCAAGCTTGTGCTCAAAAGTGCATAGTTTTGACTTTTTAGTTTATATTTTGTTTGAAAAGGAGGAAGTTTTTTGGTGTGTACATGCTATCCAAGCATTTAAGTTCATCTATGATTTATTAATTATACAGTTATTGGGTGTGTACTGCTTGGCTTGCTAGTAAAACCCAGGCAGATTAGTTCACGTTGTTTACGTAGAGGATAATGTATTATTCTATCTTATCCTGTTATGTCATGGAAAGTCTCTTTGTATTATGTGTAATGGTATAACTCTGCATTTCCGTTAAATATGTGATCTAGGGTTTTCTGTTAATTTGTTCCCTGATCATCCACCGTCATTTCTTGCCTCAAAGACAAAAGCTCTTTGCTTGAGCAGTGAAGTGATGGGAATTGCTCCCGTCTGCCTCTCCTGTCCCTGGGAATCATGCGAGAGTTGCATGTGTGTTACAGGTGTGCCAGAAATAATTTCTAAGGTTTGTTCATTGAAGTAAATTCTGCTTCGTATGGAGGCCCTGAAACTTCCTGAACAATATTCTTTTCCCAGAAATATCCATGACTCTTACATTAGGAAATATTTATCAAATTGTTTTGTGCTCCCCAGGCTCCCTGTCAAAGAGACTTTTGGAAGTGAATATGTTGAAAAATGCAGACCTCTGGAAGAACAAGAATCAGACATTATTGACAATGATCATTTTGCCTCAAAACCAGGTAAATACAGATTTGGCTCCCATTACAAACTCATATACCTCTCTTCTTCCATCTCCTGCTCTCAAACTATGAAACTGATCTGCATTGTTTTGGTTTGTCTCATGCTGTCTGGGCATTTGTTCCTTTTCAAGGCTTGGTATTATACAGTAAACCCCTTATTTTCTGTATACCACAGTGTGTCACGCTGGTGTACTTGATACGTGTGCATACATCTGATTTGTGTTACTGCAAATGCAAATATATGATTGAAATATATTTGTAAGTAAAAGATGCCTCATAAATGTATAGAATTGATTTTGCAATGATCATCAAAATACACTTTACCATGGATTGAATATATCTTTCTTTCTGTTCTATCTTCCCATTTTCTAATCCATGTTACCTCTGTGTGTTTTTGAGTGTCACTCTGAAATGCCTTTGGAAGAAATTTGATTGCACCTCTTTCATAGGAGTGCTGGTAAAAGCAGCACGAAGCTGCCCTGGTTGTCAGGACAGCTTAGCTTCAAATTCTGTTACTGTGCTACTTAATTTACAAATTTATTAATGTAGCTGATTTCTCAAGGAAAGAACACTTATGTATTTGTCTTCTCTTCTGCACTGTTATTCTCAGTAGTAATTTCTGATTTCTCTCCCTCCCCAAATTTGACAAATCTAGATATTTTTCCATAAAATAAGTCCTTAAGTGTCCTTAAATGCCTCTGCAAGTTATATGACCTCTAGTACTCAGGTGCTGAGGCCCTTTGTGTGGCTTGCCATTAGCCTGCCATAGTTGCCTTCTGGCAACTGCAGGGCATTTGACCATCCGTCCTGGACTGTCTAAACTGACCCCAAAACACTCATGTAAAACTTGTTGGCAATGGAGCACTGGAAGGGGAAAAGGGGGGATAAAGAGATTAGAAGTGCAGCCTGGTGTAGCTGAACTATTACAGGACTAGCTGGTAGGAAACCAAGCTTAGGTAATTCTGCAGGCTATGCAGCAACCTGTCTGATAGAAGTACCATGTACTCCTTTTGTTCTCTTTTTTTCTTTTTTCCCCAGGTAGTAAATCAGAGAGGATCTTAAATAAGACCTTTGGCAAAGGTCTGCTATCAACTTATGTTAGCAACTGTAGTGAAATACTTTATTTTGGATAGAACTGGCACTTGCAATGTTTCTGTGGCAATGGAGCACTGGAAGGGGAAAAGGGGGGATAAAGAGATTAGAAGTGCAGCCTGGTGTAGCTGAACTATTACAGGACTAGCTGGTAGGAAACCAAGCTTAGGTAATTCTGCAGGCTATGCAGCAACCTGTCTGATAGAAGTACCATATACTCCTTTTGTTCTCTTTTTTTTCTTTTTTCCCCAGGTAGTAAATCAGAGAGGATCTTAAATAAGACCTTTGGCAAAGGTCTGCTATCAACTTATGTTAGCAACTGTAGTGAAATACTTTATTTTGGATAGAACTGGCACTTGCAATGTTTCTGTTTAAAAAAAAAACTAATAATATGTACATATTCATACTTGTAGGTTTATTTTCTAAATATGTTTCTTTGCCCTAAAAGTTTATCCCTTCATACTTTGAATATTCATACTTTTCTTCCACTTGTGACATACTTAAATAGCACTTAGTTACCAAGCAACCTGAAAATATTACCAAAGATAATAGCCTATACATGCTCTGATAATACTTACTTATTAAATGCTTTTGCCTATGCCTTTTTTTATGCCCTCTTCCTATTTGTTGTCTTTGTCATGATCTGGAACCTCAGTTTCTTATGAGCTGGTCTTTGCTGCATTGATGTCTCTCCCTTGCTCAGCTGCCAGCCGTGTGGTACCAATGAGGGAGTCAAAGCAGACTGAAAAAAGGATGGGACTAGAAGGTGCCTTGTAGTGTTCTGGGGCTGCCAGGGCTCACCTACATGTGGAATACCACAAAGTCTGTAGGAAGTGCCAGTTTGTATTGCTGTCAACTTCAATTTATAGCTAGGTTCTATGTTATAAGATAGTATGACAAAGAAGCTCAGTAAGTGAACGTGAGAGTGGTAATATTATTAATAAAACTAATTGTTAGTTTCAGCCTTATTAATAACACATATGTTTATAATCAAGACTATTATTAATGTTAATCATGCAGATCTTAAGAGCTCCAGTACCAATGGGGAGCTATCAGCTAAATCTCTTTGGAAGTCTTATGCTCTATTTAGGAAAACAAAAATGTCATAAATGATCAGCCCAGAGGTTTATTTAGACCAGCCCATACTCTTTCAAGTTGTGTAGACAAATGTAGTCAAGTTATAAGCTGTACAGCAAGGATATGAGAGCTAGTTTGCCCTAAAGTTGAGTCAGCATCCCTACAGTTATTTCTTTTGATATTCCTGTGCTAACTGTAAATTAAAACTTCTTTATAAATGGTCAGCCTAATTTAAATCTTGCAGTACTATTCAAACCGGGGTGTTTTATGCGTTTAAGATTGTGTATTATGAAGTTCCATTGAGTTTTAATTTACTGCTTTGCAATTTCTTTAAAGGGACATATGCTTTTATATTCCAAGGGCAGACACGAATACTTAACTCCCTTCTGGGTGTGCTTTTCTCCGGCAGGGAGGTGGGAATGTTAGTTTTCGTTCTTGTCTTTGGTTTTGTTTTTTGGTATGTGTGGTGTTTTATTTTTTCTTCAAAACACATTTGATTAAGATTCTGAAATATAGATAACTTATCTTTTTTTTTAAGTGAAGGAGTTCCTTAAATGCTTTGAGGTCCGAACAGAGCCTGAGAAGATGATTAATCTTAGCACAGACCCTGTGTGTGTGTGTGTGTGTTTTTTTTTTTTTTTTTTTTTTTTTTAATTGCGTGGAGTAGAAGATGGAAATCCCTCCAGAAAAACTAATTATTTGGAGAAATTTGTTGGGAATTCTAGGGACTTGTTAGAAATTTGTTGATATTCTAGACACAGAAATTTGCAAGCTGGTTTTCAATGATTAAGAATAATCCGTGTGGCCAGACTTAGGCTGTGAGTTAGGCTCTCCTCCCTGACGCTCTGTGTGGCTGTCAGATAGCAACTTTGCACTGTCTAATTGGCTTTATGGCTGTGGCTTTGCTTCAGAGCCCTTCCTAAGCTGTGTGGCCTAGTGTAGGAGCCGACTGCTTTTGACAGAGTTACTCCTTTGTCTGACTTAAAAATATAAAGTACTGGCTATGTCCCATTTTTAATTTGATTAGTATCAGTCTAAGCTCCAGCTGTGTAATTTCTTCTCCCAGAACTCGTGAACTCAAAATCTAACCTCATGTTGAAGGACCTTTCAAATTTAGTTCGGGAAACGGGTACCAGAAAGATTATATCATCTATTCTGTGGGATACAATAATTAACTGGAATAATTTTCTGACATACCAATTATTCCTTTCATGAGTAATAGTCTTTTAGTTGTGGCAGTCAAATACCTTTACATAACTTACATAATAAATGAAAAATTGACCAAGGAAAAATTCATTTTTTCTGGTTCTGTTTTGCCTTCTCTCTCTTTTGAGCACTACTGTAAGACTACTATGGTGTTTTTATATACTTCTTAATTCTGTTTTCAAAATTATAATTTTTTGTTTTACCCTACTGCATATATCTTTTGCATGGAAGACCTGGTAGAGATGGGAAGGCTGAATATGGGAACAAGAATATGCTGTTACCAGGAGCTTTTCCCTAACAGCTTAAGACTTTTTCCAGCACTGGTCAAATTGTGATGTCTCGGTAGTGACATCTTTGTGCCAGAGGGAAGCCAGTCATCCTTTGTACCGTGACATCCGTTGTTGCTGTGACAGAATGCTATATATGAATTTTTCCAGGGAATATTTTTAGAAGCTTGAGCAGAAGTCTTTTAAAGAGGACACTGTTAATATTTTCTGAGGATGGCCATGTTAAGTTTTCTTACGTGTGTGTTAGTGCTAAATAAAGCTGGATACAACAATCTCCTTTCCCTATTGTTCTCTAAACCACGTAGAATCCAGGCCTGAGAACCTTTCTCATTGGAGATTACTGGTAGCAGGAAACCCACAGTTTTTAGAGCTTTATAGAAGTGTCTTAATGCAATTCTGCAGCTTTCAGGATTTGTCTTGTTCTAATATGGGAATAATTGGTCTTATTCTTTGGCACTCATAATTTGGGGGTTTGCTGCATGTTTTTTTACTGTACAGAGACAAGACTGTTTCTGCTTTGCTGCTCTGTGGTGATTTTAGTAATCTGTTCTCAGAAGGGAACTTGTAACAGAGGGGCAGGTATTAGGCTGTGGCTTTTATTTTGCAGTAAATATTGGTATTCTTTTTAGTGAGTAAATATTTTTTCCTTCTTCTGGATAAATTGATTAAAAAGAAATGACTTAAGTGAATGTCAAGGTTTTATTATGTGTATGCAGCTCAGTGAATGAATTTCACCATTGCATGTGGTGAAACCCACTTGAAGTGAAAACTCTGTTGATTTCAATAGTGGCTTCTTGTTTTTTTGTGTGTGGGGTTTTTTTTTTTTTTTTTTTTTTTTTAAGCCAAATTATTTAACTTGCAAAATTGTTTCTATCAATTTCCCCCACACATTCAGCTGCTTCTTCCTCATCAGTTGCTTTATTTTTCACACTTGAACTTACCGACTTGGGAGCAGAAAGTCATGGCACTGCAATGTCATTTTGTCGTCTGTATCCCTGTGTTAACTGTGACTAAATCCTGCAGTTTCCTGGCAGGAGCATGAGATTGAAAGAGCATCAAGATACTTAACAGGCTTGTTGAAATTACTAGAAGAATAAATATCTTTCTACCAGGTTATGGATTATTTTGTACTGTGTGTCCAATAGGCTCTAAGAGAAACACTTTGGCACATAAGTCAGGTTTATCTTTTCAGTCTCTTCGAAGAAGTTCTGTTCTGATAGTTGTCGTGTAAGTTGTGCCAAATGTTAAATTTTTCATTGAAAGCATACAAGGTTATAGAATCATGTATGGTTGACAGTGGTTGATACATGATAGCAATGCGTTTCAGAGCTGCTGCTAGTAAAATACCAGTTGCATAAACAGAAATTCTCTTCAGCGTATTAATATGAGAGGGTGTTAACTCGATGAATATCCAAGAGTCTGTGATTTAAATTTGGTAACAGTTAGGTTATATTCTCCTGCTCATGTTTCTCTTTCTGTATTGTAATAACTTGCTCTTGATTATTTTTTTGCCTAGATAATTCCTTGCCTCAACGTCAATCAAGTGATTGGACTCCTATACCAGTTACTGACTATAAATATCCTGATATGCCCATAGCCAAACACAAGGAAGAGGTAGCTTCACTGTCAACTTCTGTTCATTACGAAATAAAACTGAAAATCCTACTTTTGCTTTATTTCAGAATGAAATATCGGTTGCTTTTTAATTCCTGTTTGAAATGCTTTGTTGTATATGACTTTTTTTTTCCTCAAAAAAAAATTACTCTTCTACTTTGTTTGTAGATGTTTGTGTTTTATACTTTTTTATTTTTTGTAAGTGAGCACGTGCCATTTTCTGTGAACTTCTAATGCATTTTATGAATGTAGTAGAATTACCTAAAGATGCTTAAGACATGATGGAAAGATTACTCAGAGGTTTTACAGAGATTTGAAATGTATACTATTGATATTTCTAATTTGTATTTGAAAAATGTTTTGGATTGTTTTGTAGAATTAAAATTTTCTTGAAAAATATCATTTCAGATAGTTTCTCTGATAGAAAGCAACTCAGTTGTGATTGTACGTGGAGCAACTGGCAGTGGTAAGAGCACGCAAATTCCGCAGTACATTTTGGATTACTGCACTCAACAATCTACCTACTGCAATATTGCTGTCACTCAGCCTCGGAAAATTGGTGCCACCAGCATTGCCAGATGGATTAGCAAGGAGCGATCCTGGACATTAGGTGGATTTGTAGGATACCAGGTATAAGATTTCAAAATGTATTTTAAAATAAGGCAAAATAAGTGTGTGTGTTTTTAAACTGTCTGCTGTTAAATGCTCATAACCAAATGTTTAAGTCTTTAAAACTGAACACCTGGAAAAACACCTACATTCTAACAGGAGTGAGTAATTAGCTGTATTCTCATCCTTGGACATGTGTTACTGTTCAGTGATGTTTCAAAAGAATGAAAAACAGTTCTCTCTCCAGCTCTTCACTTAGCCTGTTGGATTTGCTTTACTTTACCTGTCAGCATTGTCAAAGTTGCTCGTAGGTATTGCTGGTTCTAGCCATGAACGTCTTGCCATAGCTGCTACTTGACATGTCAAAAGCTCAGACCAAATTTTCTTTCAAATGTGCCTCCTTCCTTTACTGTGTCAAACATGGCTGCTCCATCCTTCCATTCATAAATTTGTTACCAGAAATATTGGTGCTTTCATCTGCTTTGTCAGTGACGGCAGTAAACTGCTGTGATCGTTGTGTCTAGTGGTAGTTTGACAGTAACAGCACTAGCGAAGATGCTTCAGAGATACCACAGTTGACATTTAAATAATAGGTTTGAATTGCTGAATTCTGCTTGGCAAGTTTTACTAATACTTATTTATTTGGCTTCATTTCCCCCCCCCCCAACAATAGTAATCTTTATTGTCACCTATTGAATATTGTTCATGTCTGAAATCTTAGCAGTTTCTTCTAATAGAGCTACAGCAGATTTTCACAATATGAATTGATATATTTCATTTTTTGCAAATCCAAGGTTATTTTCTTCTACAAGTAGGTGTGAAGATGTAGAAAAATACTCTCTCTGCTTGATCATTTCTTGAGGAGGTGTTTTTTGGAGGTCAACATGCCAGATAATTATATGAAAATTATAATTTAACATTATCTCAAGCCTTGACAAAGCCAATGTTGTTAGCCTTCAATTTTCATCTTGTGAATAAATGGATTGATGATGTCTCATTCCCCTTCTGCTTTTCTCCTGTCCTGTGAGCAAATTAAATTTTGGCCAAGTTTTGCCAAGTCTTGCTCTGAATTTGAGTAGAAAGACCCATCTGTATACCTTTGGAGATTTCTTTTCAGGCTAGCACCCATAGTAAGAGCAACTGAAATCAGATATTTTGCATAACCTTATAGTTTTGTCTCTGACTTTCATTAAGGAAAATTATCTATACCCGAGTTAACTGGTTCTGGGCTTTAAACCTGATGTGTGATTTAAAAGCATATTTGTTTAGAGGCTTTCACAAGTTGGAGTGAATTATTGTGATGAGTTTACATTATATTTCAGTTTAGTTTTTCACATGCATATTTATGGAAACATATTAAATATGTATGTCTAATTTTGAAATGTCTCATGGTATTTTCTCATTTCATATTAGGTTAGTTTAGAGAAAGTTACCACAAAGGACACAAGGCTGACATACATGACCACAGGAGTTCTTCTTCAGAAACTAGTTTGTGCTAAAAGTCTGACTGAGTTCACTCATATTTTCATTGATGAAGTAAGTGGAAGACATTTCTTTTTTTTTTTTATATTCAGAAAAAATTTTTCTTTGTCTCTTTTGTAAAATTAGGGAAAAAAAAAAAATACTTACCTTGACAGGTGAGTAAAGATGAATTGTGGTCATGGTTAACAGTTCTAAAAATAGACTAGTGTTAGTTATTCAGTTTTGGGTGTTGTGTGTATAGGGTTGTTTTGTTGTTCTAGCACATTTAGAATTGAGTTGGTTTGGGGATTTTTGAGATGGGTGCCTTGAAATGGTTTCTGAATCCACATCCTGATTTTTTTTTTTTTTTTTTTTTTTTTTTTTTTTTTTTTTTTTTTTTTCCCCTTTCCTGTACCACTGTTTTGGTCAGCGCTTAGCTCTCCAGACTGTACCTGTTCCTCAAGGCCCTTGCCAGGCTTCCAGTCCCTCCTGGCCCATGTGCACTCACCCCATCTTTTTACCTCATTCTTTCTCACAGAGAGGTCTTGAGTCAGGCTTGGTCATTTTAGCAACCACATGTTCCTTGCTTCTTGATCCTTAATTTTTAGGTCTCATTATGGCCAGACTATCCACAGGCTTCTTGGAATATAAGCAAGTGCTGGAGCTGAAAATCACAATTTCTCAAAGCAAAACCTTGCAGTCAGTCTGAAAAATGCCTTAGCTAAATCTTTTTTTATAATAAGACAGTGTTGAATATACATACATCTTTACATTAAATTAAAATATGCTGATGAATTTAGAGGAATGAATGCAGACCTAGAATTCTCTTGAAGGCTGAGCTTTGTGGAAAGCTGCAGCACTTAATTACGTATAAACTAATAATTCAAGAAAGAGATAGTCATTGATAATATTGAAAGATATTGAAAAACTTAACTGTAACATCATTGCCTAAAAATCAAGTGTTAGGATGTATAAAGAATTAGATGGAATAGAACATGTTAGAAAGCAGTCGTGTTTTGGTGATGTCTAGAAGCCATTAGGAGCAAGAGGAGCCTATTGAATTTGTTCAACAAAATAGTACACAGATACAGTCCCTGCCTGGAGCATGAACCCCACTGCTGTCATTGACCATACTCAGTTTTGCTTTAGTTGTTAGTCTCAGATCCAGTGGAACTTAGTAGCTAGAGCTCATGATTTTTTTTAAATGATTTTTTAGTCTTTGTTCTATGATGCTCATGACTTTAAATGTTGTATTTTTTTATGAAAGGTGCCATAGTCATCCACCCTGTTGTGCTTGGGTTTTTAAAACAAATTTCGTAGTCTTAAATGTGCTTTCTGCTATGAAAATCTGTGGTTGTTCCAGGCTAGAGAAGCATCTATTTGATGTGAAACTGAGCAGCAAAGGAAGATCTTAGTTTTCCTAAGTTCATATTTTTACTGTTTTGTTAAATTGTGAATAATGTCTTTCAGGTGCATGAGCGTACAAAAGAAATGGATTTCTTGCTCCTGGTAATCCGTAAACTACTGCGTACAAATTCACGATTTGTAAAGGTAGGTTCAAAGTATGTTCTGTTCCTTGGAAGAATAAATTTTTACATGTTTCTGGTCTATGAAGGGTGTACTTTTAAAGAACTTAATCAAAAATAATTACACACTTTAAGGTAAAATATTATCTAGTTCACCACTTTGTATAAGCAAGTCAGCTAAGGGGATTATTTTCTGGCCACTACAATGTGCTTGAGACTTTTCTTTCCTCATATTAAAATGCATCAGTTCCTCAAGTCTGCTTAAGGCTAGAAATGCAAGATGAATATGTGACTAGAATTAAATATTGGATATTGAGGTCAGCAAAGTGCTAAAGCTTTGCACGCTCTGCTTATGTATAATATAAGCAAATTCCCTGACATGGAGAGAAAAAATTTCAGCCTTATCGTAGTACCTGTTTTGCCAATGAATTATGATGTAGTATTTGTATTTTCTGCTATTTTTCAATAATGCTGTCCTATTTAAAACACACAATGTTTCTAAGAGCTAGTGCAGATAGTGAATGCAGCAATTTCATGAGGTTGAAGGAGTCCCTTAAGTGCATTAGTCAGTTGTTCAGTTAATGCGAATTGTTGCTTTTAACATGGGCACAACCTGAATCTGTGTTGGCTCTTTTGTTGCTCTTGCAAAGGAAGCTAAATCCTTCTGCACGATCTACAAATACTGGTTTGAACTCGGATAACTTGTCCCTAGCTCTTCCAACCATGAGCTTCCCTCTTCTCACTGAAAGCACCCATCCACTTCTCAGAAGTCTGTCACTTCACATTGCTCTTATCTCTTGTATTTATCAACTTTTATCCCTTGTATTGCCAGTAAGAAAACTCACTTTTTGCCTTTAAATTCAGAGGCCACAGTATGAAGCTGTTCTTCAGCCTTTCTTTGCGCTTGGTTCTGTCTACCAAGACGGCCAAATAATTTCATCTTAGTTCATAAAAGGTTTTCTGGATGCCATTTGTTTGTCAACAGCTGGAGTTCTTTCATCTTCTGTCATCTTTTCTATGAGAAACCATTTCTCTTAAAGGTTTCTGAAAGGTCTTTTTTTTTTCCACAATTCAGATTAAATATTTTAAAATTGTCCTCAAAAGACATTTTTTCCTTTGCATCCTCCTCTGCGATTGTGTCTTCAGATGATGGTTTCATGTGGCATGAGTCTGAGACAATCTACTGTGGGTGGTTTTCTTGCTTTTTCTTTCCCCTTGAATTTTTTTAAGCTGAAGTTTATGTTAACAATTCATCTTAATTGCTGGGGTTTAGCAGAATGGAACATGTATGTCCTTTTTGAGTCTGTACAATAAGCCCAGGATGTTCTAGGCTGTTTCCTTTTTTTCTGGAAGTCCCTTTTGGAAAACTGATACAGAAGGGATCTTTGATTGTATGGCAAGTTTGTTTGACAGAATGGAGGCTCCCTCCTGTACCCCACCCCAGCCCCCACAGTGCCTTCTAAAACAAAAGTGTGCTTGGAGGGCCCTTTTTAAGCAGGGGGAAAAGGGTATTTATGACTCAAGGTAGTGTGAAATGCACACAGGGGTGCTTGTTTCCTAAGCTGCACATTACATAATTCAGATATCTTTCAGACTTTTTCTTTCAGATATCTTTCTGGTGGGTTTTTTCCTATCAGCAGTGATCTGTGGTTGACATACAAAGTATGCATCTGACTATTGTAGTTCAGCTACCAACTAGCCTGAATTGTGCACGATGGCTGGAGCAGATTACTGTGTGTAGATCCCAGGGCACATATTGATTGGGCTCTTCAGAGGTTAGCCTTCCTTGAAAGGGGTTATTGCAAGAAAACCTAAGGGTGTAAGAATGGCTCTATTATGTCAGATCAAACAGTGCAATCTCCAGCAGTGACAGTAACAGCGTTGTAGGTAGGAAAGTAGGACCTAAACATATGAAAGGAGAGGGTAATCAGACAGTCTGAGATGAAGCAGATGTCCAGCAACTTAGCAACTTGGCTAGAACATGGAACAGGTTTATCTGCCCTACTGATGTTATAAGCTTATTAAACCTTCATTCTGAGAGTATCAAGCTCTTGGTTTAATTTTAAGGTTTATCAAGCAATGTTCATTTGAGAACCCATTATTTGCCTTTCGGTTTGAGAGACACCTATGCAGACTACTGTGTGCGTACAAATTATAAAGGCTAAACAGAGGAAGACATTAATCTTCTCTGCCAGTAACTGCATTTTTGAAGAATCGAGGTTGGATTTTGTTCCAGTAACCTTCAGGCAAGGTTACATCTAGCCTATTTTCCCAGCATAGGTAAGCCACTTTTCCCTGACCTAGCAGGCAATTATGCTGTAGTAGAACAGCTTTAATCTCTATTTGCTGAATTACATCCTTTCAGATTTTTCCATTTTTTTCCAGGATTATGATAATTGTCTTCATGACTCAATCTGCTCTTTCCATGTTTTCCCTATATCAGAGAACATGTGCCAAGTAAAGTGTCTACTTCATTAGCTCGCCTGCCAATCGCTCAATGAGGGAGATGCTCATACATCATTGCATTTTTGTTCTGGGTGCTGGTGGTTTTTCTTGTTTATATTTTTTCTGTATTATGGGAAATCTCGGGGAAAGCAGGAAAGGACTGACCATATTTCTGTGTACAGTGATGTGCTGAATCTGAGACTTGAGAGAGAAGCTGGATGCTGCACAGTTCATTGCAATTCTTTGGATCTTGATACTTTTTGTGCTTACTCCAGCTGGCTATGCTGAATAATGGGACCACTTTCTAAATGGAGGAAGTCAGAGGGGAAACCACTGTAACCACCACCTTACTTGTTCTTCCTTCATTTTGCATTTACCGGGCTGTCTAAAGCAGGGGGAAAACAGACTGTAAAATTGAGGTTTTTTTTTTTAATAAGTTAGCAAAAGAGTTCATCGGGTAGCAAATGTGATTTCTTTTTTTTAATAACTTAGCAAAATAGTTCATCGGGTAGCAAATGTGATTTCTGCTCTGCAACTGGATGAATATGGCCCAGGAATCTTGTCAGTCATCAGAAGTGCTAAAGAACAGTGTTAAAGCTTGTAGACTGAACTCTTACTGCATGAAGAGATTGCTCATGTTGTCTGTCCAATGCATCTAACTTGAATCATTCCCTTACTGATGTTTATCTTTTTCCACCTGCTATATAGGGTCCTCTTCATCATTTATGCTTGTCTTGAATATGCCTAAGATAGTTCATGTAGTAACTAAAATTTCTTTGCTTTAGCATAAAGAAGTAGAGATTCTAGTGACAAAAAGCATTTCATGTTAAAATTGATGTTTTTGTTTACTTTGCAAATTCTTTAACAGGTAATATTGATGTCTGCTTCCATCAACTGTAAAGAATTTGCTGAGTACTTTGCAATTCCAGTTCATAACAAACTGAATCCAGCCTATATATTTGAGGTGGAAGGCAAACCTTATGCTATTGAAGAATATTATCTTGATGATTTGAAGCACCTTGTTCACTTCAAGGTACAGTAAATATTTCTTCAGATGTAGTAAGAAAGAAATTTGATGTTGTGAAGCGGTCCTTACCATCTGAGGCTGACAAACTTAGGGTTTTTTTAAGCCCCAGAGTTGGCCTGCAGCAGTTCTCAAACCTTTTTCTGTTGCAGCTGCGTTGGTCACCATGGCAAGTTCACAGGAGCCACAGCCTTGCTAAGTACACAGTTCTGAGCAATAAAATATATTGGTAGAATGGCTGTTCACCAAATCCCTGGTGACCAGTTAGCAGCCTGAAGTGAAGAACTGTTGATCTAGTGTATGACTTAAAAAGTAGTGGCTAAGGGAAAGAACTTCTATCATTCCAGAAGACAGCTCTTTGTACTTAGCTTTTGATAAAACTGATGCAGGAACAACTGCCTAGTTGGAGGTTAATGAAAGTCATGACAATATGGTGCTGTCTTAAATTAACCCTGTTCTTAATGTAGCAATTAAAATATTGATATAAAAAACATGGTATATGAAATAGACCAGAACTGTGGTGTTCATTGACTTCCGTAAGTATTTTCTCTCATATTAAAAATTCAGATTAACTTGCAGCTCATTTCAGCCCAGGTAAGACCTTGTCACTGTGGCCCAAACTCTGCATAGTTAAAAAGTGGTTAGGACTGGACTGCAGCCCTGCCTCTGGAGGGGCTGGTGGATGGTGCTCTTCCTGCAGGACACAGGGAAGCGCTTGAGGGCTGTTTCATGGAAATTAGTCTGTGCCCAGCTCTCTTGGGCAACACCAGAGTCCTTTCACAGTGGCCTTCATTCAGTAGGAGAAGCTGATTCAGAGAAGGAACTTACCTGATTTGGAACATTTTGTGTTATGTAGGACAGACTTTTTTTTTTTTAAACATCTTAATTCTGTGACCATATAGAATACTTCCTGCAAGACAATTTAGGATGTGGGGGTTTTGGTTTATTTTTTAAAACTTCAGTGACATACAGAGGAACAACTTGTTTTTTAAAACAACTGTTAGATTCTCTCCAATGAAATGAATACATTTTGTTGAGATCCAAATTCAGTTATTTAAGATCCTATCCTATGAGTGTGGTTTTCTGTTGTTTTTTAGTTTTTTGTTTTTCCTTCAGAAGGACT